CGCCCGTAACCGGCATGCAATATGACCCGAAAACCGGCAGGACATCTGGGTTGGCTTCGAGGTGGACGGGGTGCGCCACAGTACCGACGGGGGGGACAGTTGGGAGAAGGTCAACCACGGGTCCATTCCCAACCTGGACATCCACAACGTGGCCGTGGCCGGCGGTCCGCCCAAGACGGTGGTGGTCCTCGTTAACGATGATGTTTATACCAGCCAGGACGGCGACAACTGGACCTCCCTGGGCGTCAAGCAGAACTTCCCCTATGGCTATCCCCGGGGCGTAAAGGTACAGCCCGATGACCCGAAGACCATCTTTGTAACCGTCGGCGACACCACGCCTGGCCGGGTGGGCGCCATCATGCGCTCCAGGGACACGGGCAAAACCTGGGAGAACCTTCCCCTGCCGGTGGATCCCAACACGGCGATGTGGGTGGTAAACATCCAGCCCTTTGATCCCAAGGTAGTGCTGGCGGGCAGCCGCTACGGTTACATGTATCGCAGCGACGATGGCGGCGACTCCTGGGAAAAACTGTGGCGGGAATTCAGCGAGATTTCCTCGATGACCTGGATACCGGCCTAAGTTCGGAAGCGGACACCCCACGGGTTGTCCGTGCCGTTTGAGTGTTAATATTTTGGGGGCGTCCCTTGCAAGGGGCGCCCCCTTGTCACCAACAAAACCATCTTGAAGGGACTCAACCAATGAAATTCGCCTTTTTCAGTCACGTCCCCTGGCCCGAGGGAACCGAGCCCAAACAGTTGATCGAGGAGATCACCGAGCAGGTGCAATATGCCGAGGAACTGGGCTTCGTCAGCGCCTGGCTGGCGGAACACCACTTCACCCGCTACAGCATGGTTCCTTCCTCCCTGATACTGGCCACCCACATTGCCGCCCGCACCGAAAAGATACGGGTGGGCACGGCGGTGCTGGTGTCGCCGCTGCATAACCCCATGCGGCTGGCCGAAGACGCGGCCATGCTGGACATAATCAGCAACGGGCGGCTGGACGTGGGCTTCGGCCGGGGCTCAGGCGGCTACGAGTACGTAGGCTACGGGTTGGATCCGGCCGAGAGTGCTGGCAGGTTCCAGGATTCCGTCAAGATAATCGAGGGGCTGTGGACAACGCCGGGATTCAGCTACGAGAGCCTTTATAACAAGCTGGAGGACATTAACCTGGTGCCGCCACCGCTGCAGCAACCTCACCCTCCCATTTACATTGCGGCAACCCGGACGCAGGCGACGCTTGATTTCCTGGTGTCCTCCGGCCACAACCTGTGCATTGCCGTGGTGCAGGACACCGCAATGGCGCTGGACCTGTGTCACCGGTTCGTGGAGCAGTCGCAAGCCGCCGGTATCAACCGGCCCATGTCGGAAATTCCCTTCTTCCGCTACTTCTACGTGGCCGAGACCGAGGAAGAGGTGCGGCGGGACACGGAGGACCGCATCAACTGGGTCGCCGACATCATGCAGTGGCGCCGATTCATCCCCAGCGGCAGCGAGGTCTACCGCCGCATGGATGACTGGCGGCGGGAGCGCACCGAACTGCCCGACAGCTACGAGTACCTGGCCGCCAACCGGGCCGTCATCGGCACCCCAGACCAGTGCGTGGCCCAGATCAAGGAACTGCAGTCCCACGGCATCGAATACTTCGGCTGCAACTTCGACTTTGGCGGCATGGGCCGCGAGAAGGTTATGCGCTCCATGAAGCTTTTCAGCGAGGAAGTGATGCCGAGGCTGGGGTAGAGCTAAAGTAAAAGAGGAATGCCTAAAGTTAGAGACGCTATAAGGCTTGTGGAAAGAGACGGGTGGTTTCACGTACGTACCAACGGAAGCCACCGAATTTATATCCACCCCGACAAATCCGGAAGGGTAGTGATAGCCGGACGGCCAAGCAAAGACTTGCCTGCTGGTACGTGGCAGAGTATTCTGAAACAGCCGGGACTTAACTACAGAGGATAGTTATGCAATACAGCTTTGTAATTGAAAAATCCAACAACGGGTACTCAGCCTATGTGCCCGACTTGCCCGGCTGTATCGCCGCTGCGGATACGCGAGAAGAGACGGAATGTCTTATCCGCCAGGGGATCATATACTATTTGGAATCTCTCAAAGAACTAGGTGAACCTGTTCCAGAACCTCAGGCCTCAACTGGGCTGGTTGACGCATAAGAAAGTTGCGCTGCTGAGCACGTCTACAAACCATTCTTTTGAAGGCCGGAAATCCGATGAGCTCTCCTTAATTTGGCGAAAATGGCCATTCTCAATTTGCTGACACCCCGTCCTTGTCCCCTTTATTCCCGTATGCTACGCTAACCCAACTATGCCAAGAACACCGGACAACAGAGTAGTCGTTGCCATGAGCGGCGGTGTAGATTCGTCTGTCGCTGCCCTACTACTGCAACGGCAGGGTTTTGACGTGGTCGGCGTTACCATGAAGCTCTACAGCCTTGACCAGGCAGATCTGCCCGACTATTACCGAGGCTGCTGCACCGTGGATGATGTGGAGGACGCCCGCATTGTCTGCCATCGGTTGGGTATACCCCACTACGTGCTGAATGTCCAGAAGGAATTCCAGGAACATGTAATCGACTACTTTCTGCTCCGAATACCAGCAGGGGCGCACGCCGCACCCTTGCATTGCCTGCAACGACAAGATTAAGTTCAACTTCCTGGCCACCCGCGCTTCGATACTTGACGCCAAGTACGTGGCTACCGGCCACTACGCCCGAATAGAGAACGGGTCCGAAGGGTTTGCCCTGAAGAAGGGACTGGATGCTGCCAAGGACCAGTCCTACGTGCTTTTCGGCATGGGACAGGAGGAATTGGGCCGCACCCTGTTGCCCGTGGGCGGCTACTCCAAGGAAGACATCCGGCAGCTGGCCCTGGAGGCCGATTTCCCCAACGCCGAGAAGCCGGACAGCCAGGATATCTGCTTTATCCCCTTCGGCGATTACAAGGCTTTCCTGGAAGAGCGAATAACCACTTCCTCCGGTGAAATTGTTGACCAGGATGGCGAGGTACTGGGGCAGCATAAAGGCATCGAGTTTTTCACCGTAGGCCAGCGACGGGGACTGGGACTGACGAGTACTGAGCCACTCTTCGTGCTTAGGGTTGACTCTCAGGCCAACCGGGTTGTCGTGGGGCCAGAGTCCGCGCTGTACCAGGGTCAGTTAAGCGTTTCCCGCGTCAATTACGTTGCAGGTCAAGCTCCCGCTGGGCCGACACCAGTCAAGGTGAAGATACGCTACAAATTCGAAAGAGGCTCCGGCGATACTGCACCCTCAGCCGGAAGGGGCCTCCGTGGTTTTTGAGCAACCGCAGAGGGCTGTTACTCCGGGGCAGGCGGCGGTCTTTTACGAGGGTGACAAGGTAGTGGGTGGAGGTTTTATTGACTGATAGCGTTGCCCGCGAAGCGCTGCAATCACTCTTGAGGGCGCTTTATGCCTGACCTGTCCGAGGAACGCCGCCTGCACCGGCAGGGCCGACAGGTGGTGGCCGGAGTGGACGAGGCGGGAAGGGGCCCCCTGGCCGGGCCGGTCGTTGCCGCGGCAGTGGTCCTGCCCAACGGATTGACGGGAGAAGAGTCGTGGCTCCTTGCTTTGGATGATAGCAAACGCCTGTCCGCCCGGCAGCGGGAGGCAGCGTTTCATTTGATACAAGAGTATGCTGTGGCGGTGTCGGTAGTTGAGGAATCACCCAATGAAATTGACCGCATTGGCATTGGTCGAGCCGTGATCCGTGCCATGATGAGGGCCGTGGGGGAATTGGCGGTCAAGCCTGAGCACTTGCTGCTGGACTATGTTCCCATCAAGGAATGTTCCTACCCTTTTGAGACCCTGGTGAAAGGTGATTCCCGCAGCTATTCCATTGCCGCCGCTTCTATTGTTGCCAAGGTAACCCGTGACCGGACTATGGAAGAGGCGGACGAACTCTATCCCGGTTACAACTTTGCCCGTAACAAGGGGTACGGCACGGCACATCACCGCGAGCAGTTGTCAAAACTGGGACCCTGCCCGCTGCACCGCCGCTCCTTTGCCCCTTTGAGGCAGGCAGCGTTGATCTTGGGAGATTAATGAAATGACCATGTCTCGGGTAAAGCTGGGTAAACGTGGAGAAGAGCTTGCTGCCGGTTTTCTGCAATCTTCCGGTTGCGGAATATTGGCTTCCAATTACCGCTGTCCCTGGGGTGAAATCGACCTGGTGGCCCGGGACGGTGAAGAACTTGCCTTCGTGGAGGTTCGGACCCGTCGAACGTCCAATTTCGGTACCCCTCAGGAATCCATTACTTCTCGAAAAGCTGACCACCTTGTTGCCGCCGCCCAGCACTACCTGCAGAATAACGCCCCCGAAAACGACTGGGAAGAACTGCCCTGGCGGATCGACCTGGTTAGCATCTGCCTGACCGACGGCAATGGTACGCCTCAAATTGACCATATCAAGTATGCTGTAGAGGGTTGACCGTCGAATAGTCTGGAAACCATTAGGCAAACGTACCTGCGGTACCCGTTGAGGAAGAGAATGAGAGCTTCTTATTTCGGTTGTATGGGTTACCTGGAGCGCGACAAGTTTCCTGCCGGTTGGCCGGTTCCCCCCGCCTTTAATGATCCTGAAGTGGCCATGCAGTCCTACCGGGATGGCATGGCCGAGTGCCGTCTGGCCGAGGAAGTGGGCTTCGATTGGGTCAGCCTTTCCGAGCATCACTATTCGGGCAATCGGACCACGCCCAACCCGGCAGTAATGGCCGCGGCGGTGGCTCAGCAGTGCCAGCGGGTCAAGATCGCATTGCTGGGTCAACTCCTGCCCATTCTCAATCCGGTAAGGGCGGCCGAGGAAATCGGCATGCTGGACAACCTATCCGAGGGTCGGCTGGTGGTGGCATTTATGCGGGGAACCCTCAGCGAAGACCAGGTTTATGACCTCAACCCGGTGGAGGGGCGGGACAAGCTGCTGGAAGGAATGGACCTGGTGCTGCGGGCCCTGACGGAACCGCAGCCCTTTTCGTGGGAAGGTCGCCACTACCACTACCGGACGGTGTCCGTGTGGCCCAAACCGGTGCAGCGGCCTATGCCGCCAGCCATCGTGGCCACCCGCAGCGAAGACACCATCAAATACGCCGCAGATAACCGGCTGGGTCTGGGCATCGCCTATGAAAGCGTGGAAGCCACCGCCGGCATAGTGGAAAAATACCGGACCTGGTGCAATGAGGCCGGCTGGCAGCCAACCCCGGACCAGATAGTCTATCGGGGCGGCATATTCCTCGGGGAAAACGACGCCGGGGCGGAGGACTTTCTGAATGGCCTTCGCGCCCGGGGCACGGAGCGTGGGCTTTCTATCAGTACTTCCCTGGCCCGGGCGGTTCAGGCGGCCCGGCTGGGTGAACGCTATGATTCGCGGGCCAACACTGAACCCCCGGCCTCGGCGCCCCGCATACCCCGGGCGCTGCTTAATTTCGTGGGCGGCCCCGACGCCGTGGCCGGCCAGCTCGAGGAACTGCACAACCGTTGCGGAGTTGGCGTGGTGGATCTCGCCTTCCAGCAGCCCGGCATGTCCCACGAAGGGGTAATGGAACAGGTGGAACTGTTCGGGCGGAAGGTCTTGCCACGCATGAAAGAACTTGCGGTGTCGGCCTGGGACTGACAATGTCGACCCATAATCCTGTCTTGCGGGAGCAGTGAGCCATGCCGGAGCTTTACCGAGCCGACCATGTGGGCAGCCTGCTGCGGCCAGCCGAGGTTAAGGACGCCAGGATCGCCTTCCAGCAAGGGACGCTGGATCAGGAACGGCTGCGCGAGGCTGAAGACCGGGCCATCCTCAACGCCCTGCAGCGCCAGGAGCGCGCCGGCGTTGACGTATTCTCCGACGGAGAGTTTCGCCGCACCGGATTCCAAAACGACCTGATCGAAGCCGTTGAAGGTTATATAACTACGGATGAACCGGCGGTGGTACGGGTGTGGCACGGCCCCGGAGGTGAACCCCGGGAGCAAGGGACGCGACAGGTAGTAGGCAGTAAATTACGACAGGTCCGTCGGTTGACCGAACACCAGTCTGGTTTCTTGCAGGAAAACGTACCCGGCCGCTACAAGGTCACCGTTCCCAGTCCCAGCCAGTTCCCCGCTATCAGCTACCAGCAGGGCATTACCGACCGGTTTTACCCCAGCCGTTCCGAACTGCTTTGGGAGATAGCCGAGATAGTCAGGTCGGAAATCGTGGCCCTGGCCGATGAGGGAGTGCCTTACATCCAGATAGACGCGCCCCGGTACAGCTACTACGTCGACCCCAGGTGGCGCCGGCACTTGCAGGACATGGGAGAGGACCCGGACCGGATGTTTGAGGAGGCGCTGGCCGCCGACAATTACTGCCTGGCTGCCATCGACCGCAACGAAGGCAACAGCAGCGAAGGCGACAGTAACGGTGGCGCTGGAACGGGCAGCTCTGCCACTCCCACTCTGGCCATCCACATTTGCCGGGGCAACAACGAAAGCAAATGGTATGCGGAAGGCGGCTACGACTCCATTGCAGAGAAGCTCTTTAACACCCTGAACGTGGACCGTTTTCTGCTGGAATACGACACCGACCGGGCCGGCACTTTCGAACCACTGCGGTTCGTTCCCCGCGGGAAGATGGTGGTCCTCGGCCTGGTCAGCAGCAAGGACCCCGTGGTGGAAACCAGGGAACAGTGCTGGCGCGGCTCGATGAGGCGGCCCGCTACGTTCCTGAAGAATACCTGGCTCTCAGTCCCCAATGCGGTTTCGCTTCTACGGCTGCCGGCAACCTGCTCTCAGAGGAGCAGCAGTGGCGCAAACTGGAACTGGTGGCGGAGACGGCCCGCGAGCGGTGGGGCAGCTGAGTATGAGGCCTCTTCAATAGCATTCTGCGTAACTACTTCAGGCAAGAAACAGGGAGGGAAACATGGCCGACAAGATTCGCCTGGGCATTATCGGCGCCAACATCCACCGGGGTTGGGCAATCCGCTCCCATTTGCCGGCGGTGGTAGCCAGTCCCGAGTTTGAACTGACCGGCGTCTGCACCACCCGTATGGAAAGCGCGGAGGAGTCTCGCCAGTCCTTCGGCGCCAAGTATGCCTTCGACGATTACCAAAAAATGCTGGACCACCCCGAAATTGATGCCGTAGTTGTCTGCCTGCGGGTGCCCAATCACTTCGAGCCCACCATTGCGGCGCTGAACGCCGGCAAGCACGTCTATACCGAGTGGCCCCTGGGACGCACCACTGCCGAAGCACAGGAAATGGCAGCCCTGGCCCAAAAACAAGGGGTGCGAAACATGGTAGGGCTTCAGTCCCGGGGCAATCCAGCCATGCTTTACCTCAGGGACCTGGTGGCCGAGGGCTACGTGGGTGAGGTCTTGTCCTGCCACGTCAGCCGCATAACGGACGGTGGCATTCGGCGGACATCTGATCGTACCTGGCAGCGAGACCGGGAGTCTGGGGCAAATACCCTGACCATTGTCCACGGGCATACCATCGACGCTCTGTGGTTCGTTGTGGGAGACTTCAATAGGGTCGCGTCAGTGGTCAGCACCCAGGTCAACCAGTGGTATGAGACCGACACCGAGCAGTATGTCGAGGTTACCTCGCCGGACAACATCCTGGTCAGCGGGAAACTGCAATCAGGGGGAGTGGCCTCCGTGCATGTGGCCAGCAATCCCTGGGCCGGCAGCGGCTACCGGATGGAAATTTACGGCAGCGAAGGAACCCTTGTGGCCTCCTCCGAGGAGTCGCCTAACCACTTCGGCACCCGTGTTCAGGGAGTTCAGGGTGGCAACCGGCTTGAAGACTTGCCAGTGCCCGCCAGCTACACCTATGTACTGGAGGGAATGCCCTTGGGCGCCCCTTACAACGTGGGCCAGATGTACTACAAGTTTGGCGAGAGCATCCGCGAGAGTAGCGGCGGCCAGCCCGACTTTGCCGAAGCGGTGCGCCTGCACCAGTTCATTGACCGGATACAGGAGGCATCGGACAGCGGAAGGGAAGTGTCGGTTTAGGACTGCCGTTACGGATCGGCGCAGGTAGCGTTGCGCTTCAAGTGGTTTGGTAACTTTGCCGGGGCAGCCACAAGGGCTGCCCCGGCACTTTCACGTTACCATTTAACTCGGAACGCAGCAGTTGGCGCAGTTCCGCTTGACGTTCCGCCCACCCCGAGCCTGCTGGAGCCCCGCTCATCCTGATCCTGTCGAAAGGATGCCCCTTATAGCAGAACGATTGTTCGAGAAGTTCGCCATGAGGGGATTTAGTAGCGCGTCCGAAAGGGCCGCGCGACCAGGCTAGTCCCCAGTCCACTCAAATCCCAGGTTGGCGTAGCGGACGAATACGGTGCCGAAGGGTGAACCCAGCGGGCCGTTGGTCGCGAGTATGGCGATGGTGTGCTGCTGGCCGGGCTGGGCGTTCTGGGTTACCGGTGTCCGCTGGGACACGTTGAATCCCTGGATGGCACCACGGTCCCGGTTACATTCCCCATCAATCCAGATTTCCCCGTAATCGTCCACACAGGTCTCGAACTGGACCCGCATTCCGGCAGTAGGATGTCCCTCCACCGTATTCGGAATGGTTATCGTGGTCCTGTACCAGCAGAAGGTGAACCCCCCGGAGTTGCGCTGGGGCAGGTCGGTGATAACCTGCCACCCGGAGTCGTCGTAGTCCGCCAGCCTGGCAGGACTGCCGCCGCCGCTCTCGAACACGAGCCCGCCGTTTTCTTCGCCGGGGACGTAACCAATGGCGTACCGCCAGGTTGCCCCGGTGAGGGCGCGTCCCGAATCTTCTCCCAAGTTGATGGTAACTCGCGGCATTTTTTCACCTGCCTTTCTTGTTTAATCACGAATATACACGAATGTTCAACAATGGGAACGCTTTTCACGAATTTCCAGGCAAATGAGGCAAATCGGCCTTGGGGGAAGGCCACACTCAGCGAATATTCGTGTCAATTCGTGACTTAAATCCAAATATCAGTGCTGACCGATGAACTCCAGCACCAGTCCGTTCCAGACATGGGGACGTTCCCAGAAGCCGGCATGACCGGCGTCGGACAGGGACACGAAGCGACTGGAGGGGATGTGGTCT